TTTGCAGTACCTTAATATTCGGCATGATGAAGAGGGTATCTTGAGATGCTATGGGCGCCTTGGCAGAGCCCACATACCCAGTGGGGCTAAATTTCCCATACTGGTCCTACAAAAAATCTTGTTAGACCTAATCATCACTGACGTGCACAATAACTATCACCCAGGTACCAATCATACGATGGCACTGATACGACAGCAATGTTGGATTCCCCAGCTCCGCTCTCAGGTATTACGACTAGTGCGGAGATGTCTGCAATGTCAAAAATTCAATAAATTACCATATCAATACCCTCCTCAAGATCATCTCCCGACGGAACGAGTCGTGCGATCTCACCCTTTCAGTCATGTAGGGTTGGATTACTTTGGTCCTCTATCAATAAAACGTCCTGATGGGGAGCAAGGGAAATGTTCTGGGTCAATCATCACCTGTATGGCCACCCGGTTGTTACATCTTGACGTTGTCTCAGATCTCTCCACTGGGGCGTTCCTGCACATGCTACGTCGGTTCTTTGCCAGACGGGGGATCCCCAAGACAATAGTTAGCGACAACGCCCCGACGTTTTTACTGGGTGAAGCAATACTGAGGGACAATATTCAATCGGCGCTGAATGACCCGACGATAGCAAAAGAGTTGAGTAATAGAGAGATTCAATGGAAACACATAACGCCGTACGCTCCTTGGCAAGGAGGGTTTTACGAGAGGCTTATCAAATCCGTCAAATACTCTCTTCACAAGACTCTGGGAGGCTCAGTAGCAACGCTTGAAGAACTCTCAACTATCACAGTGGAACTTGAATCAATACTCAATACTCGTCCACTTACCTATGTCGGCAACGATATTGACGCAACCCAAATATTGCGTCCAATAGACTTTCTTCAAAAGGATATAGATGTTCACTTCCCCTTTTTTGAACGAAGGCGATGAAAACAACCGTTTTGGGACTGCAGACATACAAGTCTCCATTTTAGGACGGCAGACATACAAGTCTCCATTTTAGGACGGCAGACATACAAGTCTCCATTTAGGACGGCAGACATACAAGTCTCCATTTAGGACGGCAGACATACAAGTCTCCATTTAGGACGGCAGACATACAAGTCTCCATTTAGGACGGCAGACATACAAGTCTCCATTTAGGACGGCAGACATACAAGTCTCCATTTAGGACGGCAGACATACAAGTCTCCATTTAGGACGGCAGACATACAAGTCTCCATTTAGGACGGCAGACATACAAGTCTCCATTTAGGACGGCAGACATACAAGTCTCCATTTTCTGAGCGTGGCCAACGTGTAACGTATACGTTTTGGTGTGTGTGTGCCGTAAATCCGGCAGGGAGCGTTTTTTTCGTTTTTTTTGGTCAACTATTACAGGTAGTGTGATGGCACGAGAAGCAGGACTAATTCCAGCTGAATTGGAGCAGATGCTCCAGGGCGGCACGACCACAGCACAGCAGCTGTCGTTGATGAAAGGGTCCGTGGAGAGCCTGATGAGAAAGGTGGATAGCCTAACGACTCAAGGCTCGCAACAGTTGCGCATCTCGATAGTGGCTACCGCAAAGGTGTTGAGAAGCCTGCGCGAGATCCCGGCTGAGTTAGTGCAAGGAGTTTCGACGGGTCGACTAAACAGCTCAAGTAAGCAGCAAGCTCAAGGAAAAATGAGGAGTGCCTTCTGATTGAGCGGAGGCTGGAGAACCCTCAAGGAGCTAGAAGTCGAAAGTCGAGCACTAAAAGCCGTGGTGTCTGAAACGCTCTCGGTGGTTATGAGCGCTAAGGCGTGGGAAACTCACGTAGCACTTACACCAAAGGAGCAGTACAGGCCTGATGAGAAAAAGGCTTGGTTGTGCTGCTGAGCATTCTGATGCTGTTTTCCTGCAGGAACCTCGTCAGGCTGCAGGAGGAAACAGCTGTAATTATGCTCCGCCGATCGTATACGAACAACTGAACGCCGGTGACGTCGATAACGTCGAATGTTGTCTGGATTTCGATCCAGTAGCGGCGGCGCAAGGTAAGACCCTTCGGTTAGGCAGAAGGCCTGCAAGTCTCAGCGGAAAAACTGAGTACCTACTTGCAGCAAGAAAGGACGACCGAGTGAGGCCGAGGACCAGGGACTCGAGCCAATCGTCGTCGATTCCGTGCCGAAGCCGAGGTGAGTCTTTCCACTTCGATAATGCTATGGGGTCCATATTTGCGGCTATGGCCCTACCCGAAGTGGAGGTGTATAGTGACCCTCAAGGAAAGATTTGACGAGTTCATCATGAGGTTCACGATGAAATACCAGAGCCTTGGGTTACGGAATGACCTGCTCACCCAACTGTTGCTCTCTAAACTGCAAGGTTACCCAAAAGCGGTAGCGAAATCCCTACCGAAGCTCGTAAGAGAGGGAAACTTTGAACGCCTTGTAGAAGCTCTGCGAGCAAGGCTTGCTGTGGACATTTCGGCGATGCAGATGAAGACGTATCATTAAGAACCCAAATCAAATCAAATCAAATTGATTGCAAATCATTAAGAATCCGTCGGAGCTCCACGCGAGTAGCCAGTGGTATCGGGCGAGGCTTTTGTCGGATCGGTGGTGCCTCACCGGTGTCGATGTTGTGTTCCACCAGCGTTGTCTGGGTAAGCTCTTGCTCGCTCACCGCAAAGACTTGAGCGTAGCTCTTGACGAGATTATCAACTTCGTCGCTATTCTCCTGTTTGTCCTGTTGTCGCGGAGCAACTTCAAAAGTCTGTCTTCTCGGTCTGTAGGAGCTTCCACTGTGCGCCCCAACATGTCTCCCGAATACGTGACAGGCTTGACTTCAACGACTTTTGCGGGTTCGAGGATTCCCACCTCCTCCCCTAGTCGGAAGATCTTTGCTCCTGCAAAGGTGTTTGTTACCGGCACCTCAACTGCCTTCTCTCCACCTTCCCATACGACATCAGGAAGTAAGTGGTCCTTAGACCAGAAAATTCCTCCTTGGGTGAGGTCCTTGCATTGAATCGGCACCGATCTTGACTGTCCTGGAGGAATGTACACCCTTTTCGCAGCAGTAACTGAGAGAGAACAGGGTGGTTTACTCCTCCGACATCTTGCTTTCTTTCCGCGTTCATTTAGCGGAACGTCCTCGCCTACCGTGATCGAGGTAGCGCCACAGACTCTGAGCAGTTTCGCTGAGTGAGGTCATATCCAAGTGGCCGCAGTGCATTGGTCCCAAGCACCAACATGCCGTCTCCTCCAGCCATGACAAAGGCAGCGATCCGCTGCTTCTTACCGTCGCTCATCTGCAGCGTCAGTCTGATCGCTCCTTTGAAGGACATTCTGTTGCCCGAAGCATCAAATACCTGCTTTTGCTGGTCCAACGGAATTTCTTCGACGTCGGCATCCAAGTCAAAGCCGGACTCCAATGCTGCCTGGAGTACTTGCAGTGGTATGATGCTGATTTGCGAGCCAGTGTCCAACAACGCTTTGCGTGAAGTGCCTAGAAGATGCACTTCCGTGGTCGTTTGTTCACCGACCAATTCGCACTTGTTGTCGACCTCTACTGCTCCACATATCCATTTCCTCAAGGACGCGGTAAAAATTCTCGCCGGCTCTGCTTGCTGAGCCGATTTAGTAACCTTTTCAGTAACAGTAGCGTTCTTCTTCGGCATCGTGCAGTCCTTTCTCAGATGTCCTTGCTTGTTACAGTTGAAACACTTTCCGACGGGTCTCCGCTGAGCCGTCGCATCGCGGACATCGAGCTTACTGCTTCCACCTCCAATGTGTTCACAGTGGTTTGGACTTGCCGAGCATCATGACTGCGATCAACTTACGTAATCTGCC